CTAGTAGCGATGCACTTGTTACTAGTAGCTTCTTGTTACTAGTAGTAAGGCACTTGTTACGAGTAGCTAAGCACTTGTTACTGAAAGCTTCTTAGTTACTACTTGTAAGGCACTTTGTCACTAGTTGTAAGGCACTTGTCACTAGTAGGGATGCACTTGTTACTAGTAGCTTCTTGTCACTAGTAGTAAGGCACTTGTTTCTAGTAGCGATGCACTTGTTACTAGTAGTTTCTTGTTACTAGTAGTAAGGCCCTTGTTACTAGTAGCGATGCACTTGTTACTAATTGCTTCTTAGTTACTAGTAGTAAGGCACTTTTTACTAGTAGCGACGCACTTGTTACTAGTAGCTTCTTGTTACTACTAGTAAGGCACTTGTTACTAGAAGCGATGCACTTGTACTAGTAGCTTCTTGGTACTAGTAGTAAAGCACTTCTTACTAGTAGCGATGCGCTTGTTACTAGTAGCTTCTTGTTACTACTAGTAAGGCACTTGTTTCTAGAAGCGAGGCACTTGTTACCAATTCTTAGACGCAAAAGCAGAAGCCAACTACATTTCAGGAAGGGGACTAAGAAGCCCTTGCGTGATTGATTTTGCTCCGGGAAACTTGAACTGAAAGAACAGATGTGGAAAGGCAAAGAGACAGCCAGAGAAAGCCAGAATATGAAAGAATTAGGCTGGTTAAGTGACGAATTGAAGCCGAGTCTTCTTGGGTGCCTTTTGGACAACTCTGTGGGCCTTTGTTGGCCCAAGAAGCGCCACTGTGCGTCGCTTTGCTTTTTCGAGGCTTCGGAAATGCATTGGTTGACGACCAGGAGTGCCGCGAAGCACCGAGCGCCACGCAGCGCGTAGAAAGGAGATAGAGGCAATGTCTAATTCGGCTGTCTATTTCGTCAAGTTCGGCTTGATTTCTGTCGAGAAAAACATTGACGCAGAACGCCCGCACAGGACCGGGAACTATGTTCCCATGGTGTGGCTTCGTAGAGAGAAGATTGTGACCGAGCGGGAGGTCAGAGATGAGGCGATAAGAAATGAGAGACGAAAAGATTAGAAGAACAAGACAAACGAAGAGTCAGAACAAAAAAGGACAGACGTTAAGAATATTTCGGCCTAAACGATGTTAAGAACGCACACTTTTAATAGCAACCAAAGGATTTAAGGAAATTTCTGGTGAATGGGTGGTTGGAAATGATTGGGTGGTCAGAAGCTTTGTGTCAGCTGGAATACTATGATAGTGGGCGGAAGAAATTCTGCCTTTGAGACAGCCCTCATCCAAAGCTGACAGACCAGCAGCCCCGCACCTTGTCATGTCATGCAGGATGAGGATGACCCACTCCCAATGTGATGTTTCATTTGTGGCATCGGAAAAAGGACGAAGTACATTCAGTCAGTGTCTAGGGGGCAAGCAGTGTAGCAAGGGAAGCATAAAATGTTTTCCACCCCATGTTGTGTGTGGATATTGTAAGCCCCTCCAAATATTCATTTTAAACATATCCGACAATTAGACTCACATATTATCAATATATAGACTATACGCAGAATGTAATATATATATATATTATATTATATATAGTTTTGTTTATGGCTCGAAGTCGCACCATAGCTGTAATTAGTGTGGTGCTTTCGCCTTAGAATCCTGATGACCCACGCGCACACAAAGCCTAGAACCCCCAATCACTTTGGAACACCCACTCACCAGAAAATTCTTTATTTGTTGTTTTTGTATTTTCTTCTTCTCTTGACTTTTCTTTTGTCGACGTGGCCCGATTCGCCAGTCGATTGACCCGTCCCCGTCCCATGCTCAGGAAGACGGGACACTGTGCGGTGAAACCGAAAATTCAATAAATAATCAAAAGAAAAGAGACATAGTTCTTTGAACACTATCAGAGAGTGTTTGTCAATCAAATCAATTTCAGTTTGCAGCTGAGAGAGGTTCTTACCTTGTAGCCTTGCAACCGGGTCTGTTGCTTTTATCAAGAGGAATGTTGAGACGTTTCAACAGTTGCCCTTTCCTGCAAACCGACGGCGCAATCTAGGGGCGGATGTCCATTTCCGCAGCATTCTTCCATCTCTTAAAGAGCCGGTTTTGGAAATATTTCTCTTCATCGCCCTCTAGAAAAGGCTTTAGGTCACTCAAGCTGAGCGGCGCTTTGAGACGACAGTGTCCAGCCAAGGCCCCTTCTCGTCATGAAATCTCGGCCTATAAGCCCCCACACTAGTAGAGAGTCTTTGAAATTGCCTAGGATTAGAAGAGTTTCCCCTTTGGCGTCGCTTTCTCTCCAAGCTGTTGTAGTCCCTGCCTATGGCGCTCATGTAGTTGGGCCTAGAGCATTTCACTTGTGCGTGCGCAGACGCCCGCAGTTCTTTGCGGGTGTATCCTAGCAGAAGGGCGCGCCCACTTACAAACCCTCTGCTTGCCGCTAGAACTGCGAACGGTTGGGGGGAAGACATTTGATCGATGCGTCGCTCACTAACTTAACGTGCGCGGCGTCGGCTCAGAATGGCATCCCCCCCAGGTGCGCAACATGGACGTCCCAGCCACATGGACGTCCCAGCCACCTGAATATTCCATCCTTGACGCTTTTGTAAGAGAGCTTTTCAAGTAATGCTGCAGCATTGGATACCACCTGTTTGCACGTGGAAGTCTTGGCAACCACAGGCGAAGGGCCAGCCGTGTTTCACCACCAGAAGCACGCTGCTAGCCCAATTGGGAGAACGATGTGGGCTTCTGCGGTCAAAGGTGAGCAGAGTCGCTTCACTCTTCTTCTGAAAAACTTTGCGAGGACTGTCATCTTCTGGGGGCGTGGCACCAGTTCAGCGCCCAGCGACAGCCCAGGATCCTCTTGCCTTTCCGCAAACTCTTGCTCTTCTTCGCGAAGCATTGCGCTGCAGGAAACGCTACAATTTCCGGTTTCTGTCAAGGGGCCCAGGAAGTGGCCAATAGTCGACACCAGTCGGCAGAGGACCAAAAGGTCATCAGGGCAAGTGCCATGAGCTGTCATTCAATGCTGCTTCTTGGGCTCCAAGTGATGGTGTGTAGCTGCCTGTCTGGGAGGGAAACAATAACTTCATCTGGTTGATGAGTGGATCGCTGCAAGCGCGTGCTGCTGGTTACATTCTACACCTGCCTCACCAATGTTGCCAGTCTCGACTTCGTCGCTGGCAGTGGGCAGTAGTGCCGCGGGTTGATGGTCGCAGACGTGTCAAACGACATGTGGAAGCCAGGTTTGACCATCGTCGGCGGCATATATACTTCTGAAACCTCGTCGTGCACTTCGACCCGCTCCGAGGGCTTGTTGGTCCAGGGTTGGCTGACGCGCGCTTGAAGCTTTGAATCGGAACGAGGGTTGGCGCTTGTCACCTTTTTCGCAATCGGTTCTGCCTGGCGCACGGCCAACCACAACTTGGCCCCGAGTAATTCGAGCTTCTGGCGAAGGACTCTGGAAGAGTGAAGCCTGCGTGATGTTTAAGCGCTGAGCGTGCGAGGCTGCCGCACTGATGGCGATTATTCGAAACAACTTTCACATCCCACCTTCTCAAATCTCCTGAGGGCATGGGCATTCGGGCTTCTGCATGTTGGGGAGTGGTCCATTTGGACCGATGGCTTGAAATGCCAAGTGCACAGTCGTACCTTTATCAGTGACCTTTAGGGCTTAGATCAGCAGAAGAGTGAGGACCTGACACGTGACCGGTGCCTTTGCTCCTGCAAGCCCTGAACCTTGGCCGCGCGCAGAGCCGCCATGACTTCGGCTCAAGAAACGACTGGCTGAGCCCTTCCGATTCCAAGAGCCTTACCCACGTCACTGATCAACCCTCCAAGAGGTTGTAAGTGCTCAAGTGCTCATAGACTTTGTTGGAACCCAAAAGGCTAGGCCATCAAATGTCGGACTAGGGGGTAAGCCGATGGAAGAGCTCAGGAAGTAAACAAGCGCGCCTTTTCTTCTTGTCCTTTTGCATTTTCGTTTGCCTGAGGCCGCTTGCTCGAGACTTGGTCACTGCTCACAAAGAAAAAACTTTCAAGACAAGAAGAAGAAAAGCGCTGAGAAGTCTTCAGTTTTGGACGACAAGTGAAAAGAAACTGGGGCAGGAAATCGAAACGCTGCTTGCAAAGGGCAGGTCGCGTGAGACTGCTCGGGCAGGTCTTGTTGCATTGCCATGGCAACGCGACGGATATTGGGCACATCGGCTCAGAGCTTTGCGAAACGCGACGTATATAGCAAAGAACTACTGAAGCAGCTACGCGAACAAATGCCGCGCAAGGGGGGCTAAAGAATGCCAACAACAAATTGCCGCGAAGCGTTTCTTTTTTCGATTCCCGACAGGATGATGATGGGCCCGTACTACGAATTGGCCAAAGTCTTGGGCATTGAGGCGCGCTCCGCGGTTTGAGAGTCGAAAATCTGTTTCTGGTAAACTGCTGGGTTTCAACCGTAAAATAGAATGACCAGACAAGACATAAGACCTTTTTGAGAAGAAAACTGTTCAAAGAGTGTTGCCCACTTCGTTCACCGAAAAGTCGGGCCCTGAAGGTTTGTGGTGTGGAGTATGCGGGATATGGAGCAGCTTCGGGCAGGAGAGGAGTGAGTGAAGGGGAAGAAGAACCTGCGCGACGCTCTGAAGACGAAACACTGAAAAACCACAAGGGGCGAGCGCGTAAATTAACTGCTTCGAGTCAAGTGCTTTGACGGGGTCCATGTGCCCTTCGAAGTGACAGTTAATTAAGTTGCGCTGAAGACGCTGCTGCCCTTCTAGTTTTGCTTTTCCACTGAGGCTTCGCCAGGGCGCGTATCAGCTAGTGTTTACTTTATACAAATCATGTGTGTGTCAACCTCTGATTCTAAGGGCTTGACTGGCGCCAGCCTCGCATTTGTTAAATGTGCAGGGTCATGAAATTTGTTAACATTTGTTAACGTGTGGACATGTCGCCGCGTGACCCCGTGCTCACCTGAGCTCTTTGCCAAGTTTGTTTGTGGCGGGCTGTGATCCCATCTTCAGCGCCGATAAATATTGAATGCTGTTTCACCTGACTCTTCTTGATCCGATGGCTTAATCGTGAGATTGCTGACTCCAAAGCTGCAGAGCCATCGTCAAAGACACTTTGAAGGATTCCAAGCATGTTTTGTTTAATCTGAGATCTTGCTCATGCGCGACGTATTGTGTTTTTTCCTTTCAGTTTGTTTTTTTCCCTTTCTCGCCTACAGGCTTTTAAAATAATATTGGCCGGCAGACAAGTGGTGCTGCGGACCATGGGCCGGACTCAGCCCAGGCCAGCGTTAATAACATTCGTTTGCGTGTATAACAACATTCCAAAGTGTTTCGTCTGGAACTGTCAATTCTGCACGCTCACCTTTTTGCGGCGCGCAGTGCTCGACCAATTGCTGGCGCGAAATCTATTTAGACTTGCAAACGCTTGGCTGAGGAGAGCTACAGTCAAACTTGCTCCAGACAGAAACCGACAATGTCAGAGAACGCAGCGTCGCGGTCGGCCACCCGCTCCAGATTACAGATGCAAACCAACTGACCGACCGACTGCGCGGTCTTGTCAGAGAATACAGTAACTACGATACTGGGATGAACCGTGGGTTTATAAAGGTTATTAGGCATTGTAAGTGTATTTATAACATACTTATATAAACCGTATAAGTATGGTATAACATGGTATACTATAGTGTAGCTTCTTTAACACTTAGCAACTTGAAGTCATAAGTTCAATAAACTTTTCAACTACTTATATAACATCATTGATGCTAAGTTTTACAACCATTTAGCATACTTACGTAGTTATAAGTAGTTCTAACAGCTTACAACCAGTTTTGTAAATGGTTATATCTTGGACCTGTAAATGTTATAACACTTACAACTCACCTCATAACTTCTAGTAACTGTTGCAAACCCACGGTTCATCCCAGTATTGTAGCCTGCTCCAGAGTGGAATTGCAGCTCCAGCCGTTCGAGCGAGCGATCTTCAAACCGTCCATTGAGAGCAACGACAGCTACGTAGGTTGGAGTGATAATGCCTTCGAGGATGTCGGGGGGCAACGTGGCCTTGGAGGACATCAAGTCATACATTGTTTCGTCAATCAACGATTCCATGGAATCCATGGAAGACAGAAATAAAATGGAAATTAAGGAAGTCTGACCTATGCCGCCGCGAGAAAAGGGCTACGACGACGACTTCTGGGCTAAATTCGTCAATGAGCCGCAGCAGAAGCCATTAGGAAAGAACACTGAACGAAGAGGCTTCTGGCTTCCAAGGATTGGACCTTGAGGAGGGTGATGATTGTGCCCAATACTGTCATGACTTTGCCTTTTCCCTTTTCTGGGAGGGGTAAAGCGCAAAGAACAAAGGCGACTTCAGTGAACGCTTACCAAGAACTTTGTGATGTCCTAGGCCTGGTGTTCCCATCTTGTGAACTGCGCTTTGCGCCTTTGCTAGCATTGCGACCAGGCTGAAAATCCGCGCGCGTAGTGAAGCAGATTTTGTGTATTATGATTTTGCCGTTAATTTGTTGTTTTTTGGCTATCGTTTTTGTTGCTTGGATTTGATTCGGGGGGCTGAGGGGTTGGCCGGGGATGAAGGCATTTTTTCTTCAATCACGTTTGCGCTGCGTAGCATGTGGCCCAGAACTTCGCGGGTAAACTCGGTAGTTTTTGTATAACGCTTCGAACCTTTGCTTTCTTAAAGTGGGTGTCAATGTTCACAGCTTGTGATTTATTGTCTGCCTGTTCAGATGATGTCTGGATGGCTGAAGAAAAAAGGAAGCTACGATTTGAGAGGGTTTGAGGGGAGGAACAAGGGTCAAACGCATCAGTGCTTAAGATGTTTCAAACATCGAAAGAAACCACGAGGCAACGAACGAGAGAGAACTGCGGGAGTGAAAGGACAGAGAACGAGCGTGAGACAAAAGAAACAAAAGAGAAAAGTGAAGGACGCAAAAGAGAGAAAGACAAAAACAAGAAAAACTAAGAACGACAAAGCCAGAACAACGAGACAAGACTAGAGCCTTCAGTACGTGCCAGGGCCAGCTCCGGGAACACCTACGCCGACGTGGAAGCTGCGTACGACTACCTCGTCTCCAAGGGCATTGAACCCAAAAGGACTGAAAAGACGAAAGTGCTACCATAACAAATATATATATATATACACGATATTTACATAGATGTCAATGTAAGTGCAGTGATAAGGCCACAAGATATGCAGAGACAATGTATAGCGCCTGCTGACTTTGGTCTCAAGTGTCCACAAGCGGAAAAAGGAGCGACCAATTTCGTTTGACGCGCATAGACATATACAGGGGAAAGAGAAGATTGTCGACAGTTGACCTGCAATGTCTCGTTCCGGAGGAAAGAGCAGTGAGCAGTTTTCCTTCGCTGCACCTGGAGGAGCTATGTCGCAATCGTCGCCAGGCTCAATGACTGGTGCGAGTTCAGCAGACGCTACAGTAATGACTACGCCCACAGGGTCTCGAATATCAGGTGAAGGTACGGTCAACGCAAAGAAGGCAATGAAAAGATTTACGAGGTCAACATGGCCAAGAACGAATATTGCCAGATCACCCAAGAGGAGTATTGAAAGGGTAGAAATCGAGGATGCAAAAGGTATGGAAGAACGAGAGATTCAACTCATCGAGGAACTACGCTCAGCCAAGATTTCATACCAGTAGTTGCACGACGAATACAACTGTCTACATGCTGGATATTCTGACCTGTATTCGAGATCGAAGGAATAACTTTCACAGAGATGTCGGTTGCAACAAGCCCATGCACGATCACCTCCTGGAGATGATGCAAGAGGAAGAGGGAGCAACCACTTTTAAAAGTAGCTTCTGGTGGAAGCTAAGATTTTAGGCTGGCAGCCATGGAAAGTGGCTTCTGGGTTTTGAACTCTAGAAGCTACAAAAAGTGGCTTCCCAGAAGTGCTTCTTGGAATCCAAGAAGCGCTTCTGGGAAGCCATGAAAAGTGGCTTCTGCAAATCAGCACGTGCATCTTTTTCCTTGGCACTACTGGGTGATACAAGGTGAAACATATTGTACCTATGGTTGCATGGCCTTCTTTCAGGCTGAAGCTGGACATCGGATTTGGGCCTTCTTCAGGCTGAGCTGGGCAAGTTGACACTCAGAGGGGGTGTGTCATTCATGAAACAAAGGAGGATTTTCTCTGCTTCACTGCTTGCATTTCTCTTCCCACCCCTTCTGAGTGCCCACTGCTGCATGGAGGATGCAAATGTTTCATCCCTATAATTCCAGAAATCCTTAGGGTTGTGGCCTTCCCAGGCTAAATCAAAAATATGGTCAGCCAAGTGCCACTTAGGCTTGGCATGCCAGGAACAAACATCATTTTCATCTGCTCTTTGAATGTGAGACTCCAATGCCATGTACTGGCTCTTCAAAGGCGCTCGCTCAGCAGCCGGCAGCGGCAGCGCATCATCTGTGAGTGGTTCTGCTGGTGGTACCGGAGGTGTTGTCATGGGGGAAGGTGAAAAATCTGGTTGTGAAGGTGGTGGCGGTGAGCCTGCCGGTGAGGTGGGAGTGGGTGGAGGGGAAGGTTCCTGTTGGTGGGGTTCTGTCGGTAGTGAAGTGGTGGAGAGTTGTTTGTCCTGTAATCGTTGCAGGTCTTGTAGTTCTTTCCATCGGGCTCGACATTGCTCGACGGAGAATCCAACTCGTCGAGCGACAAAAATCCAATTGGGGCGGAGTCTGGGATTGCCTTTGAGTTCCACAAGGCGACAATCGGCGTCGCCATCCCATGCGTCCCAATCTGCCTGCTGGTTGAGTGGTGGTAGTGGTGGTGGCTTGCGCTTGCGAGTTGTGGGAGGTTGTGGAGGTGGGGTGGGTGAAGGTGTGTCGTCTGAGTTGTTGGATGGTGGTGGCGGTATGCGAACAGGTGGTCTGGAAGGTGCCGAATCGCAGGAGGAAGTGGGAGAAGGTAAGTTGATTGGTGGTGGCGGTAGCTGTTGGAAAGTCTGGCGGAAGGTGGGGTCCGCCTGCCGGATGTGGTGTAAAAACTGGGTGTGGAGGTGTGCCATGATGTCTGTTGCTTGTCGGAGGCTTTGAACCTGTGAAAGTGCTGTAGTGGCTTGGTGTAAAATGGCTTGTGTGTCATGATGTGGAGCTGATTCAGTGCTGTTCATGATGTAGGTGGATATCAAAGTCGGTAAGCAAGAGTTCGTCCCCGGTCGCAGCTGCAGCGCGGCAAAGCGGCTATGCGGCAGCTGGCCGGCAGCATGTCATCACGGGATCGTGCGTGCGAATTAATCGAGCACAAAAGACAGGTCGGAATGGTCAAAAGTACAGAGTGAAAGTAAGAAACGACATTGCAAGTGGAGT